CTGAACTAGAACTGGACCAGAACTGAACTAGAACGAAAATAAAACTGAACTAAACTAGAACTCATATAGAACTGAACTAGAACTGAACTAGAACTGAACTAGAACTGAACTAGAACTGAACTAGAACTGAACTAGAACTGAACTAGAACTGAACTAGAACTGAACTAGAACTGAACTAGAACTGAACTAGAACTGAACTAGAACTGAACTAGAACTGAACTAGAACTGAACTAGAACTGAACTAGAACTGAACTAGAACTGAACTGAACTAGAACTGAACTAGAACTGAACTAGAACTGAACTAGAACTGAACTAGAACTGAACTAGAACTGAACTAGAACTGAACTAGAACTGAACTAGAACTGAACTAGAACTGAACTAGAACTGAACTAGAACTGAACTAGAACTGAACTAGAACTGAACTAGAACTGAACTAGAACTGAACTAGAACTGAACTAGAACTGAACTAGAACTGAACTAGAACTGAACTAGAACTGAACTAGAACTGAACTAGAACTGAACTAGAACTGAACTAGAACTGAACTAGAACTGAACTAGAACTGAACTAGAACTGAACTAGAACTGAACTAGAACTGAACTAGAACTGAACTAGAACTGAACTAGAACTGAACTAGAACTGAACTAGAACTGAACTAGAACTGAACGGGAACTGAAATAGAACTGAAATAGAACTGAACTAGAACTGAACTAGAACTGAACTAGAACTGAACTAGAACTGAACTAGAACTGAACTAGAACTGAACTAGAACTGAACTAGAACTAGTCTATAGTCTAGTCTATAATCTAGTCTATAGTCTAGTCTATAGTCTAGTCTATAGTCTAGTCTATAGTCTAGTCTATAGTCTAGTCTATAGTCTAGTCTATAGTCTAGTCTATAGTCTAGTCTATAGTCTAGTCTATAGTCTAGTCTATAGTCTAGTCTATAGTCTAGTCTATAGTCTAGTCTATAGTCTAGTCTATAGTCTAGTCTATAGTCTAGTCTATAGTCTAGTCTATAGTCTAGTCTATAGTCTAGTCTATAGTCTAGTCTATAGTCTAGTCTATAGTCTAGTCTATAGTCTAGTCTATAGTCTAGTCTATAGTCTAGTCTATAGTCTAGTCTATATTCTAGTCTATAGTCTAGTCTATAGTCTAGTCTATAGTCTAGTTTATAGTTTAGTCTATAGTCTAGTTTATAGTCTAGTCTAAAATTCTTTAAATTTTTTAAAATTTTTAGTTTTGTTGGAAAATTCTTTAAATTTGTAACAATTTTGTTGGTTTATTATTATTTTTCTTTTTTTTAATATTAGATAATATTTGTTTATTTGATTGTTTTTTTTTAAGGCTGTTGTTGTTGGGATAATAATCTTTTAGAAAAATGTGTTATCTTTTATATTAGGTAGTTATAGTTATAATTATTTAAACAATTTTTTTGGTATTGATAAGTATTTTTACAACAACATGAGGAATTGTTGTTATATATTTTAGGGAATAATTATTTATCTTGAACTTGAAAACTATTTTTAAAAAAATGTTTATTTATTATTAAAAAAAAAATGAGTGGGTTTAGAAAAAAAACTCAACATGTGTGGGAATTTAAAGATTGGAACAATAATTGCAAAAATTAATGACGTCAAATATTTATAAAAATTTAAAAAAGAAAAATAAATCAATTTAAAAACATAATGAAGAAAAGTGAAATTATATTTTCACTTTCAAGCCAAAGAAAGTGTAAAAGCTTTTCCATAAAACATTTAAAGCTTTAAGCAAAAGTTAATAAAATTTATTTTTATTACAAAATAATATTTATTAATAATATACAAAACGGTTTTTTATAAAAACCTGTATATTTTTTGAATGTTTTCCTCCAAAAAGTTTTTTGAACTTTTATTTTTCCTCAAAAAAAAAAAAATTATTAAAATGAACTGCTTTGAACTTTTGTTTAAAAATTATTCACACAACGAGAGAGAAAAAATGCGGAATCAAATAATAAAAAAATCATTGATCAAATGTGCTGGTATGATTAAGTCCAAATGACCTTGTTAATAATAAAAAAAAATTACTCAAATAATTTTTTATTTTTTAATTTTATAACTAATTTTTTTGTAAGACTAGGCCTATTGTTTTGTTTTAAAAACATCTGTTATCTTTTGCTAAACAAATTAATTTAAAAAAAAAATAATAATTTCCGTAAAACAAAAAACTGGTTGCAGCGGGTGTATTGACTTTTTGAAATAAAAAAAAAACCTTTAAAACATAAACTCAAAATTAAAAGCAATGAACTTTTTTTAAATGACCTTTTAAATGCTGTTTAACTGTATTTTTTCGTTAATAATTTAATTATGTTAAATAAGTTCTGTTAAGGAAGTTAAAAATAAACAGTTAATTAGAAAAAAAAGTAATTTAAAATAAAGCCAATGAAATTAAACAAAAATAAAATATTTACTAAAAACAAAGAATTAAAATTGTTAAATTTTTCTTTAACTAAATTTTTTCCAAAAAGTCTTATTTCCAAATATTTTAAGTCTAAAAATATTAAAATCTTAACAAAACACCTAATTCTAAACATTTTCTATCTTTAAAACTCCAAAATCATAAAAAAAATAAAAATTTTTTTAAATCAAAATTTTTCATATTTTTAAATTTTTCAAAATCTCAAAATTTATATAAAATATTTCCAAAATTAAACAAAATTTTAAGTCAAACTATGCCCCTTTCAACAAAGTATCTTCGTACCAAATATCTTTCAAATCTCTCAAAGGGTTAGTAAGTTATTAAAGAATGAAAATTTTGAGGTTAAGGAGAAAAACTTTTTTATTTTTGCCTTAAATCTAAAAATTTAAAAAGCAAAATATTTCTTAAAACCGCACGAATAAATTTACCAAAAAAAATATAAACAAATTTTACTAAATAAACAAGTTTTTTAAACAAATAAGTTCAAAAATTAAAAAAAATAACAAATTTTAAATTTAACAATTTTCTTAAAGAAATGTTTAAATATTACTAAACTTATTACCATAAACTATTCCTTACAAGTTCTAAAATCATTGAGCTAAATTTCAATCCAATCGCTCTAAAGCTTTAGATGTTATAAAAGAATTAAAATTTTGAGGTTAAGGAGAAAAACTTTTTTATTATTGTGTTAAACTAAAAAATTTTAATGGCAAAATAATCTTTATAACAAAGCCAGCAAGCCACATGAAAATTAGTGAAATCTTTTAACAATTAACTATAAAATTTTAAAAAATATTTTTTAAAATTTTAAAAATTTAAGTTTTTAAAATTTCTTATTTTTTTTAATATTTTTAGAATTTTTAAATAAAATTATGTATTTTCTATATAATGCATTTTAATTTCAAAAATTAAACTGTAAAATTTCAACCAAATCGCTCTACTACATATAAAAATATTAAAGAAAATGTTAAGAGAGGTTAGGGAGAAAAAGTTTTTTCTGGAACTTTCGAAAGAAAAACTTCTAACAGCAAACTATTGCTTAAAGTCTTAAAAGCAAACACTAGAAAAAATTGTTTAAATTTTCCACAAAATTTCTTAATTATTTAAGAAAATATGAAGAAAATTTTACAAAATTTTCTTTTTATTTAATAATTAAATTATTAAAATTTTAAACAAGATTTCAAGGCAAAATATTATTTTGACTTTAAGGAATTATTAAGCCAAATATTAGGTAAATCGCTTTAAAACTATTAGAGTTATTAAGAAAACTATTAAGTGAGGTTAGGGAGAAAAACTTTTTTCCCGAATATTCTAGAAAGAAAATTTTGATAGAAATTTGTTGCTAACAGCCATATGTATAGTTTTTAGAGGAAATATTTAAATTTTGTTGAATTTTTTTAAAGTTATAAAGAAAATTTTTAAAAATTTTTATTTAAAAAATTTTAAATTTTGTTTGTTGTACAAAATTTTCAAAAATATTTTCTATAATAAAATTAAGGCACTCATTTATTCCTTTGATATTAAAGAAATTTTGATTTAAATCTTATTAAAATCTTTAAAAGGGTTTAGCAGTTATTAAAGAAAATATTAAGTGAGGTTAGGGAGAAAAACTTTTTTATTTATTGTTCGATTAAAAAAATTTTGATGCCAAAATTTTTCTTGAAACTTAAAAGTTTCATTTAATAAAATTTATCAAAATTTCTTAAAAAGTTTCTAAGTTATTAGGGAAATTGTGTAAGATTTTTAAACAAAAATTAAGAAATTTATTTTTTATACAATTTTTTTAATATAAAAGTTTAGAAATTTATTTATATAGAAAAATTTCCTTGGCTTTTTAAAAATTTTTTGTTTTTTAAATTATTCAAATCACTCAAAGGGTTTGGGAGTTATTAAATAAAATATTAAGTGAGGTTAGGAAGAAAAACTTTTTTATTTATTGTTCGATTTAAAAAAATATTATGACAAATTTTTCTTTTGAGACTTTAAAGTTTCATTTTATAAAATTTAACAAAATTTCTTAAAAAAATTCAATGTTATTAGTAAAATTGTATTAGATTTTTAAACAAAAATTAACAAATTTATTTTTTTCTAAAATTTCTTTAAAAAAAATTATTTTAAAAATTTCTTTATATAGAAAAATTTCCTTGGATTTTTAGGAATTTTTTGTGTTATAAATTATTCAAATCCCTCAAAGCGTTTAGGAGTTATTAGAGAAGTGTTAAGTGAGGTTAGGGAGAAAAACTTTTTTATTTTTCGTTTAAATGAAAAAATGTTGATAGCAAACGGATGCGTAAAGAGTTAGAAGTTAGCAGACATAGTATTTTCTATATAGCTTTAAGATTTTAGAAATTATTTAGTAAAATTGTTAAAATTTTTTAACAAAATTTTGATTTTTTTTTTTGGTGTTTTCTTAAGAATTTTTGGAAAATTGTATTATTTTGTTAAAAAACTAAAAGGAGTTTTTGTAAAAAATAAAACTAAAACTGAATTTGCGTTTTCCGGAATGTTTTCCCATTTCAAAAAGGAAATTTTCTTTAGAGTCTTACCAATATTAAGTTCGGGTTCTCCCTTAACCGAACTGGCCACTGTGGTATCCATAACGGGATAAGATTTTATATAATCCGGTGTTTGGGGTCTAGAATCAGCGGCCACCACTAAAACACCCGTAGAATGTTGATGATGTGGAGTCATTGTAGAATGATTTAGATTAGCAACATGTTGCTGTTGTAGATGATGATGTTGCTGTTGTTGCTGATATATAGCATTCTGATTAGTATGATGATAATTGAGGAAATTATCATAGGTAGAGTTAAGATTATCCGAAGTGGTAACAATATTATTGGTTTGATGATAGATATTGTTGTTGTTGTTGCAAGTTTGCTGCAAAGCTTGGGATAAAATTAAGGAATTTTGAGGGTTTTTATTGGTAAATATAACAGAGGAGGAAGAGGTAGTGGATTGAGGGGAAAGAAGGGAAGTTGAGGAGGAGGAGGAGGTAGAGGGTGGTAAAGGATTAAGTTTTAGAGGATTTAGTGTAATAGAACCGCAAGAAGTTGTAGCACCTGTGGGCACAGTATCCATGTCTGTGACAGGTGTAGCTGCTGCTGTTGCGGAGGCCCTTAAGGGATTTCTTATAAAGTTTATTTGTCTATTTTGATATTCCGCCGAGTTGAGAGTTTGTTGATAGTTTGTTATATGTTGTTGTTGTTGTTGATCCTCCATATGATTGTTATTTTGTGTTAAAAGTTTGGTATTTTGATAATAAGCCGAAACACTGGTATTGGGTGGTAATTTTAAAGCATTTTCTAAATGGGAACGACCCATTATGATTTGTGGTCCCGAAGTAGTGGAAGAGGCCGCCGAAGCCTCTACCACTGATAAATGTTGTTGTTGTGTTATATTAGTATTATTATTATTATTAGACACTGTTTGTTGTGGCTGTTGTTGGGTCATTGTAGGCCCTTGATTTTGATTTGTTATGTGACATATAACCGAAATTTTTGCACTTTGTGAAGGAGCTTCGGCTCCCACTACCACACTACTGCTGGAGGGATGACAGTCCGAACTGTCAGCTGACATGACCATTTTCATTTTTTTTCTTTCTTATTTAAAAACGATTTTTTTTTTCAATTTTTCTTTTTTTTCATAAATTTTTTTTCACAAACACATTTTTGGGGGAAATTTTTTTAACTTAAGGGGATTTTTTTTAATTTTTTTCATAAAATAATTTTATAATTTTTTTTCTTTGATTTTCTTAAAAATTCATTTGTTTTTTTTTTATAAAATTTGTTTCTGTTTTCAGTTTTCTTTTTTGTTTTTAATTTTTTTTTTCTTTTTATATTGAACAAAACTTCACGTATATTCCGTTAACCGTAAATAACGATCTGCACATTACGAAGCGCCGCTTGTCAATGAAAGGAAAATCAACATTTACGTTGGATCTTGTTCAGTCAAAAAAAAACTACACACACACATTTCATTTGTCCGCAAATATACTCACAGCAAAAACTAACAGACACCCCTGTATGGTTGTCATTCCAAAGAGTAAATAAGACCCTGAGTATGGCTGATTATTATTCTCGCTCTCTGTCTGGCCCTCTATCTCAATCACACTCTCCTGGGTTCTCAGTTAAAACAAACTGTTGAACTCACGTGCTCTTGAATATGTTTGTCTACATTGAAACCCATTTGGTAATGTATTATTACTACTTGCTTAGTCATGGCCAATGTTTTATACTCCCTACATAGATCGTCAATTGGAGAGCCTTAAAGAGTGTTATAGTTAGAGTTAAATTCGCGAGAGAGAAAGAGCTGAGTATTATTTAATCTTAGTGGGGCTGTTTGTTATAGTTTTTTTAAGTAAATTCAGGGCTAAATATTAGTTTTTATGCCTTGAAATCTCCAGCAAGAGCAAAAGACACAGAGAGCGAGAGAATGTAGGCAAAAAAAACTACATTAACCACAACACGTGTGAGCAAATATTTCTCTATATAATCGGCTAAAAACAATCTTTAATGCCTCCCCCTCATATAATTATCTGGTGTTGTAGTATTAGTGGTGGTGGGTCGGCTTCTCTCTATGTGTTTATGTCCGTCCATCCATCCATCCGTCTGTCTGTCTTGTACATTTAAAAACCGACAGCCTGTAACTTTCTCTATGTTGTCCTAGGTTTAAAATATCTACAGCAACAACAACAAAAACCATCTCCCCCTTAAAAAAAACTGCATCTTTTTCAAGTATCTATAGCTCTATATAAAGAAATCTTTTCATAGTAGTAGTTTTTAGGTTAATAAACTTTTTTTTATAGCATTCGCCCTTCAATTTAAATGCTTGTGGATGTGATCTATAAGTATAGTATGTATGTATTCCTTAAGATATTTTTAAAAAAAATTATTTTTAATTTAATTATTATTATTATTGTGCAAGTTCATTGATCGTTAATTTTTATAGTAAGTGTTTCATAAATAAATTTAATTAACTGCTGTTGGATATTTTTCAGAAATTTTGTTTTCGGTTTTTTTTGTATAAACTTACAGTTTTAAGTTTTATTTCATTATTTACCTCGATAAAAGTGTCGTTGACTTGAATTTTTATAAAGTTTTGAAAGTTTTTTTTTTTTTCAAAAATGATTCATTTAAAGAGTTGAAGGAGTTTGATCAGCAACTCTAAACTTCCTTAACTAGAGTTCAAGAACATCATTAAAGTGTCAAGATAAGATTAAGGTATATGTTTAATGCAATATCATTTTAAAAACTATTTTAATTGCTTATGTTAGTAGTTGTTATAAGCTTTCCCTTGATATATATTTTAGTAAAATCTGTTAGTTTTCTACAAAGTTGTAATACATAGAAAATTGTATTAAATAAAATTGTCCAACTTTTTTGAGAAAGCATTTTGTTAAAAACCTAACTATTTTTTAAAACTATTTCAATTGCTCATGAGAGTAGTTATTCTAAGCTTTCTCATGATATATATTTTTCTAAAATCTCTTAAACTTCTTCTAAGTTATAACACTTTGTAAATTTACTTAAATATAAATATTTCACATTATTTGTAAACAAACTTTCTTTTAAAGAAACTAGTTTTTTTAAAACTATATCAATTGCTAATAAAAGTAGACATCATAAGCTTTCTCATGATATATATTTTTCTAAAATCACTTAAACTTCTTCTAAGTTATAACACTTTGAAAATTTACTTAAATATAAATATTTCACATTATTTGTAAACAAACTTTCTTTTAAACAAACTAGTTTTTTAAAATCTATTTTAATTGCCAATGAAAGTAGACATTTTAAGCTTTCTCATGATATATATTTTTCTAAATTCTGTTGCTACTTTTCAATGTTATAACAATTTAAAAATTTATTTAAATAAAATTTTTGAATTTTTGCAAAAATGTTTAAAGTTTCTTTTAAACAAATCTTATTTTTAAACTTTGTTTAATAAATTCCTAAACTAGATACTCTAGGCTGTTAGATGACACTTCTCCTACTATAATTCGCTAACGCTCTCCCTAGATATGCCTTCTCGAATACAGTTCTTTAAACTTTTTATATCAAAATTTTCCAATAATTTGTCAAATTTTAAATTGTCTTAAATCTTAAGTTTTTTCTAAAAATTTCCTTCAATTTTAACAAACTCCTTAAGTAAACAACTTAAGCTTTCATATGATACCTATATTACTAAAATCCAGTAACTCCTACTCTAGTTATAACTTCCCGAAAATGTGACTTTTTCATAAATTAAAAGAAATAGATTTTTTTTGTGAAAACTTTAATTAGTCAAAAAGTTTATGCTTAATGTTAAACTTGTAATTAATTTCTTAAATTCTTAAAGTAGACCCTTCCAGCTTTGTATAAGATATTTTTGTTTCAAATCCCTTAACACCTTCCCAAGTAATGACTGCTCGAACTTGCTCATTTTCGTTAAAATCAAAAATGAACAAAATTTAAGGTAACATTTTGTTGTAAATAAAATTTAAAAAAAAACTACATTAGTTTAATTATTTTTTTCTAAAGTCTGAAAGTATTTATCCTAAGCTTTCAAATGAGGCCTTAATAGTTCAAATCCCCGATCCCTTAGACAAGTTATTACTTCCCAAACCTGACACTTTTTTTGCTAGATTTTTAGTAAAATGAACTGATTTGTGTGTTGATAAAAATATTTTTGTTGAGAATTTAGCTTAGCAAAAGTACTTTTTAAGAAAAGTACTTCTTAGTATAGTTATATTAGCAAATGTACTTTTCGCTAAAGTACTTTTTGAGGGAAAAATTATAACAAAAAATCCCTTTTTTGCTAAAAAAAACTTCAAAAGGGAGGATTTACTAAACTCTGATAAGTTTCCCTTAGGCAAAAGTACTTTTTAATAAAGGTACTTTTTGGAAAAAGTACCTGTTGGTAAAAGTACTTTTTGATAAAGCAAATGAAAAATAGTTCTATTGTGCAAAAAAGTTTATTTAGAAAAAGTACATTTTGAAACTTGCAAAAAGTACTTTTTCAAAAAAACTATTTTAATTAAAAGAAAGTCCAATTCTTTTTACAAAACCCACAATTAACGAAAACTTCAACCACCTCCAATTACTTTCTAACCTTTTTCTTTTTATGACAGCTACAAAAATCCCCCTCCAAAACAAATATTTTGATTTTTCTTAAAAAAATATTAATGAAAAAATAAACAACAACAAAAATTAAAGCAAAAAATTAAGTTTTGAATAAAAAAAAAACTAAATGTTGCATTTCAAATTGAACAAAGTCGTGCAACCACTTTCTTTTTTATTTAATTTAATAAAAAAAACACACAAAATAAACAAAAAATTAAAAGAAATAAAAATTTATTTTCTTTTAATTTTTTGCTCAACAACAATAACAACCAATAAACACATGCCAATAGTTGGGATGGACGGACAGGCCGCTATAGCAAATTTACTATAAAAAAACACTATAACAACAAAACAATCATAGTTTGGCAAAAACATATTTAAGTTGCCAATAATAAATTTGTATGAATGAATTGAAATAAAAAAAAAAAACTACAAACGGTTTAATGACATTTTCCATAAAAATAAAGCATACAAAAACCAACAACATTAAATACAAAATTTAAATGTTGTTGCTTGTTTGCTTTTATTAACTTGTGGCAAATGATTTTTAATCACCATAATCTAAATAATAGTAACAGCAACTAAAACAAAACAAAACAAACAAAAAAACCCCAAGCAATCAAAGTATTTATTGCAACAGCAATAATAATAACAACAACAACATCTTGAGGAATTTTGTGCAACAACAATAATTGCATTGCAAGAAAAATACAACACAACACAACAACAACATCATGTTTAAAATGGCATTGATCTTAAGTGAGAGTGTAATTGTAGTTAGTATATGTACGAACAAGTTTGAATCCCTGACATTGCGCCAACATAATACAATGACTTTAACATACAACAACAACAAACACAATTGTAGCAACAATAAAAGCAACAAATTATTGCTGTTGATAATGTTACTGTCAGTGTCATTGAACGTTTAAACGCTATTGAAGCTCTCAATACCCCTACATTACAACAAAGATGTAATCATATCTCTTAAACTTTAAGAAATTTTTGAAAATATTTCAAAAGGGGAAAAAATATCTTAAAAAGTACTTTTTGAGAAAAGTCTTTTTTATAAAAGTACTCTTAGATAGTCTATAATCAGGAAAATAGTTTAGTCTATAATAAAAGTACTCTTAAGTAAAAGTACTAGCCTGGAATATAGTCTAGACAATAGTCTACTCTATAATCTATACTAAAGGCTAGTCTATAGTCCAGTCAGTAGTCAGGACTATAGTGTAGTCTATAGTCTGGACTATAGTGTAGTCTATAGTCTGGACTGTAGTCTAATCTATAGCCTGGACTGTAGTCTAATCTATAGTCTGGACTATAGCCCAGGTTATAGTCAGGACTATGGTAAAATCAAGGACTATAGTCTAGTCAATAGTCAGGACTATAGTCTAGTCTAAGTCAGGCCTATAGTCTAGACTTTAGTCAGGACTAAAGTCTAGGTTATAGTCAGGACTTAAGTCTAAGCTATAATCACGACTATAGTCTAGTCTGTAATTAGGATTATAATCTAGTATAAAGTCAAGTCTATAGTCTAGTCTATAGTCTAGTCTATAGCCTAGTCTATAGTCTAGTCTATAGTCTAGTCTATAGTCTAGTCTATAGTCTAGTCTATAGTCTAGTCTATAGTCTAGTCTATAGTCTAGTCTATAGTCTAGTCTATAGTCTAGTCTATAGTCTAGTCTATAGTCTAGTCTATAGTCTAGTCTATAGTCTAGTCTATAGTCTAGTCTATAGTCTAGTCTAAAGTCTAGTCTATAGTCTAGTCTATAGTCTAGTCTATAGTCTAGTCTATAGTCTAGTCTATAGTCTGGACTATATTCTGGATTATGGTCTAGTCTATTGTCTGGACTATAGTCTACTCTATAGTCTGGACTATAGTCTAATCTATAGTCTGGACCATAGTCTACTCTAAAGTCCGGACTATAGTCTAATCTGTAGTCTGGACTATAGTCTAGTCTATAGTCTGGACTATAGTCTAGTCTATAGTCTGGACTGTAGTCTAGTCTAATCTGGACTATAGTCTAGTCTATAGTCTGAACTATAGTCTAGTCTATTAGTTTAGTCTATAGTCTGAACTATAGTCTAGTCTATAGTCAGGACTATAGTCTAATCAATAGTCTGGACTATAGCCTAGTCTATAGTCTAGTGTATAGTCTAGTCTATAGCCTGGACTATTGTCTAGTTTATAGTCTGGACTATAGTACGGTCTATAGTCTGAACTATAGTCTAGCCGGTAGTCTGCACTATAGTCTAGCCGGTAGTCTGGACTAAAGTCAAGCCTGTCTTCTGGACTATAGTCTAGTCTATAGTCTGTAGTATAGTCTTGTCAATAGTTTGGACTATAGTATATTCTATAGTCTAGTGTATAGTCTAATCTATAGTCTGGAATATAGTATAGTCTAATCTATAGTCTGGGCTATAGTCTAGTCTATAGTCTGGGCTATAGTCTAGTCTATAGTCTGGGCTATAGTCTAGTCTATAGTCTGGGCTATAGTCTAGTCTATAGTCTGGGCTATAGTCTAGTCTATAGTCTGGACTATAGTCTAGTCTATACTCTGGACTATAATCTAGTCTATAGTCTGCCCTATAGTCTAGTCT